TATTGCAACTTTGCATATGTTGAACTCTACTGCTTACGAGCTTTTTACTAACAGTTTTCATCACCATGTGATTCAAGCCTGGGTCACATCTATATCTTAGCCTGATTCGCACAGCCTGCTTGCTTTGACTGCTTGAAGATCATGCTATGCTTGTTGCTTACTTGTCGGAGTTGGGCTCTCCTCGGAGACTGGTTGGGCTATAAGCTCCGGTTTGTTTCTTGAAAATTTTTCGAGATCGTGGCTAGCAAACGAAGGGGCATGAATACCATCTCATTAGATTACAATTCGTTTAGATTCATATTCGATGTGCAGTTACGTAACAGTATTCTGTTGTTTCGCACAAGTAGCAATGCTCATGGAGTTTTGGGCTCTCCCCGGCAGACCGGTGAGTCTTACCCGCCGTGGTTTGCTTGTTTGAATACTTTGAGATCGTTTGCTGGCTAACGCGGGGGCATGGGTTCTATCTCAGTGGAATATAACTCATTATTGACATTCGTAATATCCAGCAGTTTGTTTGCAGCTAGGCCGTTATTTCTTTAGTTTGAATGAAGTCTGGGCTTGAAGCATATGATGTTTCTGTTGCTATTCGTGTTTAGTGTGAAACTGAGAACTTTCATTCTCCTTGAGCGTATTTAATGAAAATGAAATGAAATGAACAACTTTGGTACAGAAAATTTCAAAAAGGTTTCCTCAGTGCAAATCAGGCTTGATTGTTTTGCAAAAAGGATTACTGATAACAATCAAGCCTCAACTTGAAGAAACTTGTAAACTTTCCTATTTTTGTTGTAGCTGCATGTTTCATAACTTCACTAAAAAGGTACACCTCCAAAGAAATAATTTTTTTGCAGTTTCTAACAGCAGATCAAAAGAAACTGAAAGCACTGTTAGTCCAGGATTTACTCTATCCAATACTTAACTTCTTTTCTTCAGTCTTATATATAAAGCTGTTTGTATGTGCGTCTGCGAGTATGTCCGTATTTAGAAATTTGTATGTCCGAGTAGTAGAGTTTATCTCTGAACCGATCCAGACCAAACTTGGCACATACACTTCAGGGAGGGGCGAGTGTCATAGACTACTTTTTATCATCAATCGACATCAATTTTACTGATTTTTTCAAATAGCTTGAGCTACGGAGCTGGGAATTGGCACGGGGGGTTAGTGAGCTTGCTGATTACGAATGCAATACTAGTTCTTAGAATTCCACTAATTTTATCGATCTTATCGATTTTTTTTGCAAAGTTTGAGCTACGAGGCGGAGTTGACACAGGGGAGTAATCGAGGAAACTGATTACGAATACAACATCAGTTCTTGAAATTATCCGTTACTTTTATCGACTTCATTGATTTTTGCGAAGTCTGAGCTATGGGGCTGGTATTTCAGTGGGGTAAGTGAGCGTGCTGATTACCAAAACAGCAGGAATAGGGAATTGGCATGTAGACATGGGCACAAGGAAAGGTCGTACAGGAATAGGGATGAGAGCTTTATCATACTGTTCTGACAGGACCGGGCGGAACCGGGTAAACCAGCTAATCAAAAATAAATTTTTGAAACTTAGCCACTGAGCAGATAGAAATAAAGGGTGATTTTAGGCAATTGATTAGAAGATTTCAGGAGATGACGATTAGAAATTAAAATCATCACAAAGAGAAGGAAAAGCTGCATCAAGTGTATGTGAAAACACTGTGAAAACACATTGAGTCCTTTACTGTGCGAGATTTTATAGCCTTTTGGGTACTTTTCGGTTATCAGGACCCATATTTTTAGAAAGTTCTAACATACATGATTCAGCCTAGATTTTTTCGTAAAATTTGTGAGGACTGTCTTCTTGTCATGTGTCAAGATAAAAATTAACACGTTTGGCGCCAGTTTGACATGTTTTTTCGAAATCATTTCCGGTAAGGTACAAAAGCATTCGAAATGACTCGAAAGCTGTTCGGGTCTTTTATGGAAGTAAAAAACTTTCAAACGTTCACTAAAACATCTTGGTAGCTTCAACAATCATTTCAAGGAATCCCGCTCTTCACATTGTGTTTCCGCCATGCCAATTTAGCCGCAAAATAATATAAATGATGGCTTGAAGTATGTAGACGCAGACTAATTAGATGGTCCGACAGTCCCCACGAACTGGGCGGTGCCCAGAATCTCCAGATGAGCTGGCACTCCCCGGGTGCTCGGTGGTCCCCATTAATGTCCCCCATTTTGATATATACAGGGTGTCCCAAAAAAATGTATCGAACGTTTGATCGTTGATATCTCTCTTCTAAAAAGTCTTTTCTCTTGCTTCAGGTACCAATCTGTACAGCTGGCTTCAACTTAGATTTGCATTATAGAACGAATCATTCATTCCTCTTCATTACTGTAGGATTACGGTAGAAACTTCAAAGAGGGTTTTGAGCAATAAAGGCCATATTTTGCCTCAGAAAGGAAATAAAACAGCCTGAAAGCTTTTACACTAGGCTAATCAGAGTTGTTGATTCTAACTGTAAAGTCCCCAACTTATTATGATGGTTCATTGAAGAGTTATGCCAGGTAAGAGGTAGCGGCCATTTTTTCAATGTTCCTAAGTGTGGTTGCACCGTTTAGAAAGCTTCGTAATTTTGTGAATAGTTAAGTATTGAACTCAGCGTCCATAAAAACCCTATTACACAAGTTTCCACAATTTTTTAAAAAATTTTGAGACGGCAGCCTTTTCCACATTGACACTATATGTTTCAAGTTTCTACTGTAATCCTACAGTAAAGTAAGTATCGCTGATTCGCTCTATACTGTAAATCTAAGTTGAAGCCACCTCTACAAAACGGTACCTGAAGCAAGGCAAGAGACTTTTTGGGAAGAGAGATATTAACGATCAAACGTTCGATACATTTTTTTGGGACACCCTGTATATATGTTATAACTAGCTGGCTTACCCGGCTCCGCCGTATCCGGACCAAACTTGGCACACATACACTTCGGGCCCCGGCGGGTGTCACAGTCCACTTTTCGTTACCGATCGATGTCGATTTTACCGATTTTTATCGATTTTTTTGCAGAATTCACCTACAGGGCTAGGAGTTGGCACAGGGGGGAAGTGAGCATGGGGATTCCGAATACAATATTAGTTTCCAGAATTATCGATTACTTCTATTGATTTTATCGATTTTTTGTAAATTTTGACATGCGAGGCTGGGATTTTGCACAGGGAGTAATCGAGCATGCTGATTACGAACACAATATTAGTTTTCAGGATCGTCCATTACTTTTATCGATTTTATCGATTTTTTGTAAAGTTTGACCTGCGGGGCTGGGAGTTTGCACAGGGGGGTAATCGAGCATGCAGATTACGAATACAATATTAGTTTTCAAGATCATCCATTACTTTTATCGATTTTTTCGATTTTTTGAAAATTCGAGCTAGGGGGTGGAATTTGGCGCAGGGGTGTAATAACATGCTGATCACCCCCCTTGGGGGTGATCAGCATGCTCAATTACCCCCCTGTGCCAACTCCCAGCCCCCTAGCTCAAACTTTGCAAAAAATCGATAAAATCGATAAAAGTAATCGATAATCCCGAAAACCAATATTGTATTCGGAATCCCCATGCTCGATTACCCCCCTATGCGAACTCCCAGCCCCGTAGCTCAAACTTTGCAAAAAATCGATAAAATCGATAAAAGTAATCGATAATCCTGAAAACCAATATTGTATTCGGAATCCCCATGCTCGATTACCCCCCTGTGCCAACTCCCAGCCCCGTAGCTCAAACTTTGCAAAAAAATCGATAAAATCGATAAAAGTAATCGATAATCCTGAAAACCAATATTGTATTCGGAATCCCCATGCTCGATTACCCCCCTGTGCCAACTCCCAGCCCCGTAGGTGAACTCAGCAAAAAAATCGATAAAATCGATATCGATCGATGACGAAAAGTAGCCTATGACACCCGCCGGGGCCCGTAGTGTATGTGTGCCAAGTTTGGTCCGGATCGGTTCAGAAATGGAATTTTCTATTCGGAACATACGTACACACAGACAGACAGACAGACAGACAGACATACAGACAGACAGACAAACAGACATTCAGCTTTATATATAAGATGATAAAATCATCTAGTCAAGAACTCTTCTGTTAAGATGCAATACAACAGGGTAGAGGGATCAAGTCCCGAGAGTAATTAACTCGTTAGACTTGACAAGTACCTGGCTGTCGATTATTTCGTCGTAATGATAGAATAGTAGCCCACTTTTCTAATCTGGAAATTCCAATGTGTTTACACAGAGTGTCACTTTCAAAATGTTAAAGCTTATTAATGAAACTTTTGAGCAAAAATAAGATCATTAGAATAAAAACGAAACTGAACTTATGATCGTCTCCACAATTCGTGTAGAGGTGTATTGCAGACTTTGCCTGATAACACAGGTAAACTTGCTAAACCTCCACGTCAAAGCATTGTTTTGTGTACTATCTCGCTATCAAAAACCGCCACGCTTTGAGTTGGCAAAACCCCGCCTCTACACGAATCGTGGAGCCGATGATACATTGATAGGTGGCTGAACAAACCCTTGGTAAAACCTGTTAAATATGCAGATGACATGTCATTCTTTTTTATTAAGTAGCAGGAGGCTGACTCTACAATCTGCCCCAATCCAAAACAGGCCAAAACTGGCACGGCCGAAAATCCGCGTCGCTAGTGTTTCGCGATCAAGCCCACGGCCTGGTTGTCTGTTCCCTCTTCGATCTCCTCGCTCTCTCCGACAGCGTGCATGTGCAGCGCAAACGCCTAGCGCTGCGAGCGCGCATGTGCAGCGCAAACGCCTAGCGCTGCGAGCGCGCGCGATTGGGGCAGACTGTACATCCTGTGAAGTTTTTGCCAAATTTGGCACTATCTTTTCTAATTAAATGGGTCCAAATAACGGAAAAGTAGAGTCGTTTAGAAAAACGGACAAAACTTTCGGAATATCTTAATATTTCATGCAAAAAAAGCTTCATAAAAATTAAGAAGATATGAAAAAGTAGACACCTCTTTGTCTCTGAATAGATTAGCCGAATTCTGCGCGATCAGAACCACTCCGGATGGCGACGACTCAAATGTCTGCATTTCCTCTCTGAATTTCTTTGTCTTTTTACCAACACAATAAGCTACGAGGTATCCTCGAGCCGCCAAGTGCTCCTGGATCCATATAGTCTATAAAAATAGAAGAACATAATGACCATGAAAGCGAAGTGACGCGATAAGCTCCACCTTTTTTGGCCGTTTACATATGATCACTGTCCTTTTGCATTCCAGCTTCGGATACAAATCACAAATCACTTCAAACTGCGTTTTCTAAATCAACGGAATGATTCCCCGAGGTTCAAAAATTTGTCAGATACCTTCGCAGTCACATTATAACTGCAAAAGTCACGAGACTGCTCATTCTGCTGATCGCCTAAATGTTCCCACATAATCTAATATTGATTTTCTTCCAATTCACCTTGTACTTCGATACATATGTGTCGTCTTCGGTTTATCACAGTTTCAAGCGGTTCACTTCTGGCAAGCTTTTCGTATGGGTATACAGCGGTGTCATGAGCTATACTCGCATGTATTAGTTCCTTTCCTGATAGCATGACGCACTAAACAGACAACAATCAATTATTGAGCATAAGGGAAAAGGTATGTATAGAGCAATGAAGTAAGAAATTATGCAGCAATGATCAGTCCCGAAGGCGGCTGGCCAGATGCGGTAATCGCACACGAACGTTGTGCAGGTGCCAGTAGTCACCGGGTAGTCAATAGTTTTACTGTGTTCTTCGCATACCCCGACGATGACGCTTGCTTACGCAGCGTTTCCGTCCATCTGCGTTGACACGCTTATATCGGAACTAATGACGACATATTTTGATTATGACATTTGTAAACTTGGAAAAATCTAACTAGTTTCATTTTTAATTTGAGTGCAGTGGGAAGAGTAGCCGTTGACACGGTGCAAACTGAAAATTGAAAACAAGATCGAAAGTCTTTCGAAACAGCATCTCATAAGCGAATTACAGCATGACTATGAAGGTAAGAACTGCATGGTAGTACGCATCATACCTGAACCCTTTTAGGCATAAAATGGATTATACTGTGTAGTAGAGTTTTGGAACCAGTGCAGAAAAGCTTATCCGCATTTACCATTACCAAAATTCGTATGCTGCCCGTATCTGCAAGACCAACAAAAATCATCAAATGCATTCTAAAGCACTGGGTAATCTTTGCTCAAATGTTTGGTAACCAGCTAGCAATGCACATTCTAGAGCATTTCAGGCTTATAGTTTTTGTTAAAGAAATCTGACAATGGTCCTCGAGCAAAACATGAAATTGATCACGCTGTGCACAAACAGTTCTCATAAGAAAGCATATAAAATAACGTTTTGCTACCAATGCAGCGACCTATAACAAAACTCACAAATGCACTCGCGTCTCAGTAAATAAAGTGCTCGTTGAGGTGGCGCTATTAGGACATGAACATTGTTACTCAATTCATAATCCCTCGTACAAATCCACCGTCCACTGCAACCGTATACCAAAATTTTTGTGCTTGAGAGGGAATCCTGCAGCTCTTTAGAAATCTGGAACAACGTGTAATTTATCTTCCAATATCAGATACACTTAGTCGAAATCCAATCGCAAATGAGAAAGCGAGACAAAATCTATCTCAAGTTGGTTTGAAATTCAACTATCACGATGTTAGGATGATAGGTAGGATTCTCTGAACAGATAGAAATAAGGATAAAGTACTGATATCTAAACTCCCTCATTAAGCACCAGTCTCTCCTCTGCTTCGCAGAGAGCCGCACTGGCTCCACTATCATGTTGTCCTTCAGCTCACGCCAAAGTTTGCTTAGGCCCCATTTAAATCTAAAGTCGGCTGCGCGGGCGGTCGCCTCGCGAACATGCTCTATGTGCCCAAATCACGCTTGCTGCCTCGCAGTGCATCTTGATTAGGGAGGCTCGATTTGGTTGCGATCAATGTGCGTTGCCGTGATTGACACCAGCGAATAAAGCTCAGAACAGCATCTTATTACCACTTCAAGATGAGCTTCACCTTAAAGTGGATATATGTGGACCACTGATCATGAGTTTGTTTTCTGAGCCATTGCAGCTGTTGTGTAAACCTCGACAGGGCACGCAATTGACACCACGCGTCAAAATGCGTAGTTGGTGTCAATACAGTGCTCACCACTTACCTCAAACCTGTAATTGATGTTTTTTCCAATCTTACTTCCTCCTTATCACTCTAGAATGGCACATGATTAAGAAAATTCAAAAGAACTGAATAATTTCAAATATTGTTACTTGTACTGAAATCGCTACCCGTACTGAAATCTTATGACATGGGAAATATTCATCATGCTGATTCCGAAATTTATTTATTTATTCATTTATTTATTTATTCAATACGCTCTTAGCGTTCCTTACAAAAAAGAAATGATATCCACTTAGCTTGATAGTCGTTCACAGTAGAGCTGCAGCAGCTGCCCGGGTACGAGGCCGAAACGACAGTTGCCAAAAACTTTAATAAAATTGTTTTGCCTGCTTATTCAAGAAACGCTGGTAGTATGTATCTTATGATAGCTTTCCTTTGAAGTTACGAGCAGCAGTGATGACCGGATGTATGATTCTGTGGCCTAGTTTAGGGTTATTTGATGTGCTAAGTGGAAGTGTAGGACAGAGACCAGCAAGAAAGACGTCTTTTTTGATTATTCTTGTTGTCGTAGCCGACGCTACCGTAATTGTTATTCGATGATCTTGTACTGATGTTTTGTACGATTCCGCGAACGCGTTCGCAATACAGTGTTTTTGTCTTGTTTGCGACTGCATTCAACAAAGGAAGCTGCCAGCTAGCAACTACAATTTTGGCTTCTCCCTTTTGGAGAGTCGGTTGTGAGTGAGTTGTAAACTGGAGAACCCGGCGTTCTTGTAGTGTTTGTTACAGTTTGCCGGAGAACCCGGCTTAGGAATAAAGAGTTAATCCAACCGTGTTTGACAGAAGCACGTTGAATCAAAAATCCACTGAACCCCAGCCATTTTCAGGTGCATCGGGCGGGAATGGGCCCAGCCAAAAAGCAAGTCAAATCTTGCTAAATCTTGGAACAAGATGGAGCCGGTTTTGCAGGAATACCTTCTCAATATCAGCGCCAAGACGCTGAAAACTTTGACGAATAATGTCAAAGAGTTCCGAAAGCCAGTAGATTCCGCAAAAGGTAAGCCCACCTACGAAGAAAAGCAGCCATAAGCGCTCCGGCTTGCGCTCCAACCGCAACTCAACTGCCCTAGATAGAGATATACCCAGCTGTATTAATCCGACTCATACAGTAAATCATTAGTTTTGTGATAAACGTTAACGACCGTATGAATGTAGACCTAAGCTCATTATTAGGATGTTGAGTAGGACATCACTATGGCGGTTTGAATAATGGAGCCATACCTTATCCATGACATACATGATCTGAAATGGTATATCGGTTGAATTCGGCGTTCTATACTTTGTACTACCTTCCACTACTATGATGTACAGGATGGATAGGCAACAGGCCTAGAAGAATTCACTATTGAAGGGATATAATTCAACTCCACTTCACCAAATCTTAATACGATGTAAACTCGTCCGCAAAATAATCGCCGTCACTTCCAACTAGCTGTATCCTATTCGCAAAGCCAGCCATCGCCAATCCGTCGCACTACCCAATCCACCTTTGCCTCACCGTCGTCTCGCCAATGGTATCAGTATTATGCTTGCGTTCACTTTCCTCCTCTTTATTAATTCCCATTTTCCCTCCATCGTTTTCTTATTTCCTATACCCCCACTCAGCCTTTATTATTTGATCATATTTGATTTTCCATTTTTATCGCTCCTCTCTACCGCTATTAACACTCTCGATCAATTGTGTACATCTATAGATTATCTGCTTTCCATTTCTCCTGGCCGGAGTGTCGTAGCCGACGCTACCGTAATGTTCTGTTTCCAATTCTCCTCGGCCGGCGTAATTGTTATTCGATGATCTTGTACTGATGTTTTGTACGATTCCGCGAACCCCTTTCGCAAAACAGGGTTGTTGTCTTGTTCGCGATTGCATCCAGCAAAGGAAGCTGCCAGCTGGCAGCCTTCCGAACACTTACAATTTTGGCTCCTCCCTTTTGGAGAGTCAGTTTTATTCATTTTATTTTATTTCAATACGCTCATGGTGGCCTTAAATGAGTTGTGAGTGAATGGCCCTAATTCGGTTTCAGTTCCGGGCAGCTGCTGCAGCTATACCAGACCTAACGAGCAAAATGGGTATCATTTGCGAAATAAGTATAATGAACAACCCACATGCCAAAAGATTTGAGTACGGCAATTTCAGTACGAGTAGCAATATTTAAAATTATTAAGTTCTATCAAAAATTTTCCTAATCATGTGCCGTACTCCAGAGTGATAAGGAGGAAGTAAAGTTGAAAGACCTCAATTACAGACGTGAGATAAGTAGCACTGTAGTTACCCCTATACACATTCTTAACGCATAATATCGATTGGGTGCCCTGTCTATACGACAGTGCCATTGCATTGCCATTGCTCACAATAATGGGAACTGAGTCCTTTCCTAGGTCCAACCTACGCATCTTACTTAGCTAGATACTATCATGATTAGCAGATATTCTCAGCTATTCTTTAACTTTTTCAAGACGTGCAGGATATGACAATCTATCTTATATATAAAGCTGAATGTCTGTTTGTCTATACGTATGGGTTGTTTCCAGTGGCGGTCCGAGGGGGGAGGGGGGGGGGGCGCCCCCCCCCCCCGAGAATGGGTCGCGAAATTTTTGAAAATTACCTATATGGGTTATAAAAATGTTTATTTTTGTAAATAATTAAAATAATTTTTAAAAGACGCCACGCCCCCTTTTTCCAGAGTTTAGGGGTTGGGGACTCGCAAAAATTTTAAGAAGCACCCCAAAAAATTTTTCGGAGTGCGTGGCTGACGCCACGCACCTTCATTTTAAAAAATTTTTTGTCGCGCCCCCCCCCCCGGTCCGAAATCCTGGGACCGCCACTGGTTGTTTCATACTGCCGCACTGACTGCAGCAGACCGCAGCAGACGCAGCAGACTGCAGCTGACCGCACTAACCGCAACGGCCGCACAATCGCTGCATCCTTAAAGAGAAAATAGTTGCGAATACATCAGAACACCGTGATTTACGCCTAGAAAGCTCATAGATTCTAACTTACTCTTCTCAATCATATTTTGGCGATTGTTTTTCTTTATCATGCTCATATTTGTTCGTATTCCTTTTGTCATTGCATATAACTGTTTTACTCCCGCTTGTGTTGTCTATTGAGGCATATAGGGCACACCAACCACCATCGGTCGCGGATACCTAGGGCAAGAGGCAGCGCGAGCGCGACGCGAGCAAAGGAGATTGTACTCGAGCGCGAAAGCGAGCCTTGTTCTTAGACTCATGACGTTGATTCATCTCGTGTTTACCTTATATTCTCTTCTTAGGCATTAAATTTCGTACTTGTACGATTACTAGACATTTCAGATGGTGGCGCGCTGTTCAAATGAAAAAAATTCAAGCAGGAACGGTGAACGCGCACATTTTGCTCATGCTAGCAGGGAATTATCATCTATTCCAGTTGAGGAGACTCGAGCATGCTTTGCACAAGTATGATGTAGAAATGTTACCTGTTCTTTACCCCTATGGTTGGTTTACTACCAGAGATTAGATGAGAAACAAGTACAAGTTTGTTAAACAACGTGTGCAACGTTCTGAAGTCTCCTAATCTTAGATTTGGCATATAATCAAAGTGTCAAATCCAAGTCACAGTCGCATAAAGCCGAATTACCTTTTCCATCATTGATTTGAAAGAAAAGAAGTTTGAGTGTGCTTATGCTTCTCATTTCGTGTGAAATACGGAAAACAAGATATTCCAGCATGCAATTGAGTACGAAATGAAGTTCATCAGATACGCAAGAGAAGGCTATGTACAAATCAGCTTAAAAAAAAAGAACAATATTCAACCCTAGCCATATATACAGCGACGCTTTCGCGCTCGGGTACTAATTTCGCTGTCCGTCCGCGTCGCGCTTTCGCAACCTCATCCCGTGGGTACCCATGACCGATGGTGGCTGGTATGCCCTACATATTGTTAAGAGACTGTTTGAGCTAAACCTATTTATCCTCTCCACCTTCACGAAAGGATGTAGCGATCTGTGCGGCCCCGCGGTCAATGCCTCAGCTGCAGTCTGCTGCAGTCTGCTGCGGTCAGTGCGGCAGTCTAAAACAACCCTATGTGCGGAATGGAAATTTTTATTTCTGAACCGATTTGGACCAAACTTGGCACACATATACTTCGGGGCGGGGAGCGTGTCATAGGCTACTTTTCGTTAGCGATCGATGTCGATTTTATCGATTTTATCGATTTTTTTGCAGAGTTCACCTACGGGGCTGGGAGTTGGCACAGGGAGTAAGCGGGCATAGAGATTCCGAATACAATATTAGTTTTCAGAATCATCGATTACTTTTATCGATTTTATCGATTTTGCAGAGTTCACCTCGGGGCTGGGAGTTGATACAGGGGTAAGTGGG